TTGGAGGATGTGCCTTGCATCAATTAACCTCCCAACCCCATATGCTGTCCATCTGGTCGATAGATTTCATTCAAGAACGCATTTTAAATAAGAGCTGGTAAAAATTTTAAGGTTAAGGACAACCGTTAGTTCCACATTAAAAAAAAATAATAATAAAAATAATAATAAAACAAAACAAAACATACAAACTTTTCTGTAGATGAATATATAAAAAATGCCCCGGAACGGTAAATCTAAATTGATTTTGAGGATATTTGGCGATCCGCAAAATTACGTTCCCCGCTCAAAAATCGCGTTGAATAAAACACTGCGAAAGTTTGTTATTTTCAGCCAAATTAGAAACTACAAAAGGGAATCAATTGCAAGTATCCAGAGCACATTCTTTGTTTTAGGACCTACTCGGAGCATCTATCGACAAATCGCCCACCGGCTTTTTACTTCCTCTTTGTTAAACTATAGAGAAGATGGCAAACGGGAATAATACAACTCAAATTATTTCTTTCCTTCATTCCTTTCTGTCCTGCCAGTAGAGCATCCCCCCTCCGGCTGATGTTTCACTGATGAAACTAGTAGTCATGTAGAGACGGACCTAATCTTTTTCGTACAAAGCATAGACTTTCTCCATCCGCAAAAATAAAAACTCCCACGAAATGTTCACGCCACACGAAAGACAGTCTTGAAAGAAATTCAGAAACAATCATCATTCCGACCACCTTTAACTGACAACTAAAATTAATCTAGGACCTTTGATATCAAGAAATTTGAGGAAAATGTTTGACGTTTCGTTTCGTTATTTGAAAATATCCCGCAATTATTTTCTCTTGCTGTCGCAACTGATCAGAATTTATAAAAAGAACCATCTTCCCTAATTTCTCTCAGTCTCATTCGAACGGTCGCTGGTTGTGATCTTAAATCATTCTCTTGCATTGTCTTCGTTTTTAATTTTCTATATGGCATCAACTCTAAAATCTTCCTCAGTGCATCCTACTCGTTTTAAATTGGTTG